AATAATCATTAATTTTAATTAGTGAGTCATTTCTGTACTTTTATAACTGTTAGGCATTCTGCAAAATGCCTTTAAATATGGTATGTGATTTACTCAATTCCACTTCAGACAGCTCTATCTGAAGATAATTCAAAGCAACCTGATAATCACTTAATAAAATTTACAACATTTTCCACATTTGATATAGATTTCATATATGACCACCTCTATATAGTGTTGAATGTGAATTTTATTTACTATTGTGGGAAGAGGAGAAATCTTACAAATAATAATTACAAAAATTTGTGTTCTTTAAATGTGGTGTAGGCCATGAATTAATTAAAATTCTGATGGCTTATGACAGCATATACTACTTGGATCCATAAAAATAACTCTGAGACATTAGTCTTTTATTGCGGTCTCCTGAGAAGTACAGCTTTTTTTTTTTTCTAACCTATTCTTTGTGGTTTAAACATGGGGGCTAAGTCTTATAGAGAGAAGTGGCTGTTGGAAGTCAGTTCTCCATAGGTCTCTTGTGTTTCTATATGTTTTCTGAGCAGAAGTATTGATCGCCTTTCTTCAGGAATGGCTTTTCAAAGATGTTTGTTTAGTGAACAGCTTTGGTAAAGATAGTGTCTCTTTCCAGGGGGAAGGGGAAAAAAGCAGTTTTGTTTACTGCCCACCATAATAATGATAATGACATCCTCCAGGGCAAAGATCAGACAGGTTTATTGCCCATCCTAAAAGATCAGGTTTCCTTAAACTTGAGGCTCCTCTCCTGTCACCCACTGTATGTGTCACCTAGTCCTCTTCATATCACAATTTAGGAACTGCAGCATAGGCAAATGACATCAAAATGCTAATGCTCTAGCAACTGTTATTTCTGTGCGTAATAAGCTGTCCTTTGTTCTGACCCACAAGCCTGCCTCTGTCAATATCCATGAAGCTAGACCAGGTTAACTTGTTGGTTTGCAAACAGGGTAACCCCAATTTGTATTAGTAATAACACAACTCAGATAACAGAATCTGTTATCTGAGTACTTGCTTTCAAAAAAAGAAGTCACACAGAATTTCCATGTTCCTAACTATCTGGACTGGCCAGTCCAGCATTTTTGCCTGATTCTCTAAGAAATCCATCATCTTCTAGTACAAAACTCAGCTAAAATGCCTTTTCCTTGTTTTATTCATGATTTTTCCTTCGTCATCTAGTGACAGAATTGAGCCAGGTTGCCTCCTCCTTTCTTCAAACAAAGAGAATTTTTGGCTCAGTTTTTTCCTTGAGAGTAAGAGAAACAAAATGGTTTTTCAGATTACCCATTTTTTCTTGTTTTGTTTTGTCTTTTAATAGCTTTATTGAGATGTAACTGACATCTGAAAAGCTGTACATTTTTAATGTATGCAATTTAATGAGTTTGGAGATATTAATAAATAATAGCCATGAAACTATCACCCCAATCTAAGCTATAAGCATATCTATTTTCTTCAAAAGTTTCCTTCTGCCCTCTTCATTATTCGTATGTGTGTGATAAGAACACTCAACCTAAGATCTATCCTCCGGCAAGTTTCAAGTATGCGGCACAATGCTATGTACTATAGGCACTATGCTGTACATATCTCCAGGAATTATTCTTCTTGTATTGCAAAACCTAATACTCTTTGACTAATACGGCCCCTGGCAACCACTGTTCTACTCACTGCATCTATGAGTTTGATTATTTTAGATTTCTCATGTAAGTGGTATCATGTAGTATTTGTCCTTCTGTGTCTGACTTATTTCACTTAGTACAATGTCCTCCAAATTCATCCATGTTGTCTCAAATGGCAAGATTTCCTTTTTATTCGGGATGAACAACATTTCATCGTATGCACATACCATCTTTTTTATTCATTCATCCACTGATAGACACTTAGGCTATTTCCATATCTTGGCAATTGTAAATAATGCTGCGATAAACTAGGGAGTGCAGATATCTCTATTTCTTTGTGTATATACCCAAGTGGGATTACTGGATTATATGGGAGTTCTAGTTCTAATTTTTTGTGGAAATTTCATGCTGTTTTCTATATTGGCAGTGCCTCTACATTCCTGCCAACAGTATGCAAGGGTTTTCTTTTCTCCATCTCCTCACCAACACTTAATCTGACTTTTGTTTGTTATTTATGTAATAACCATTCTAACAGGTATGATGTGATATCTTATGTGGTTTGGTTTGCAGTTCCCTGATAATAAGTGATGCTGCACACCTTTTTATATACCTTTTGGCCATTTGTATGTCTTCTTTAGAGAAATGTCTGTACAGTTCCTTTGCAAATTTTTTAATCAAATTAGGTGAGTTTTTTTCCTGTTGAGTTTTGGGATTTCCTTGTCTATTTTGGATATTAACACTTTATCAGTTATATGGTTTTCGAATATTTTGTCTCATTCTGTAGATTGCCTTTGCATTCTGTTGATTATTTCCTTTACTGTACTGTACAGAAGCCATTTAGCTTGATGTAATCCCATTTATCTATTTTGTTTTTCTTACCTATGCCGTTGGTGTCATATCCAATAAACTATTGCTGAGCCTAATGTTAAGCAGCTTTTTCCCTGTTTCTTTGAGAAGTTTTAAAGTTTTGGGTCTTACATTTAATACAATTTGAGTTGATTTTCGTGTGTGGTTTAAGATAAGAATCCAATTTCTTTTTTTTTTTTTTTTTTTTTTTGCATTTGGATATCCAGTTTTCCCAACATGATTTATTGAAAAGACTGTCCTTTCCCCACAATGCATTCTTGACACCTCTGTAGAAGGTCAGTTGACTACAAATGAATGGGTTTATTTCTGGACTTTCTATTCAGTTCCATTGGTCTATATGTATGTTTTTAATGCCTATACCATACTGCTATGATTACTGCAGTTTTAAAATATATTTTGAAGCCAGGAATTATAATGCCTTCAGCTTTGTACTTCTTTTTTCAGAATTGTTTTGGCTAGTCAGGGTCTCTTTTTTGAGGGGGTGGGGGAGGTCCAGTGTGAATTTAAGGATTGTTTTTCCTGTTTCTGTGGAAAATGTTATTGGGATTTTCATAGAAATTGCATTGAATCTTTAGATCACCTTGGGTAGTATAAACATATTAACATGGGATGTCTTTCTATTTATTTGTATTTTTATAATATATTTCATCAATGTTTTATAGATTTGTTTTGCAAGTTTTTTGCCTCCTTGATTAAGATTTATCCTAAGGGTTTGATTCTTTTTGGCACTAGTGTAAATGAAATTGTTTTCTTGATTTCTGTTTTGAATGGTTCATTGTTAGTGTATGGAAACACAATGATTTTTGTACATTAATTTCATATCTTTCCATTTCGTTGAATTTATTAGTTCCAATAGCTTTTTGGCAAAGTCTTTAAGGTTTTCTACATATAAAATCATGCCATCTATAAAAAAGAAAGTATTTAACTTCTGCCTTTACAATTTGAATGCTTTCTGTTTCTTTTTTTTAACTAACTGCACTGGCTAGAACTTTCAGTGCTGTGTTGAATAGAAGTGATGAGAATGAGCATCCTTGCCTTGTTCTGGAACTTGGAGGAAAATCAGTTTTTCACCATTGAGTATGATGTTAGTTGTCGGCCTGTCATATATGGACTTTATTATGGTGAGTTAAGTTTTTTCTATACCTAAATTGAGAGTTATTATCCTGAAAGGTTGTTAAATTGTGTCAAATGCTTTCTTTGAAGTGATCATGTGATTTTTATCCTTTATTCTGTTAATGTGGTATACTGCATTGATTGATTTCTATATGTTGAACCATTTTTGTATGCCAAGGATAAAACTCATTTGGTCATGGTGTATGATTTTCTTAAAGTGCTGTTGAATTTGATTTCACAGTATTTTGTTGAGGAATATTTGCATTCATGTTCATAAAGGATATTGGCCTGTAGTTTTCTTTTCTTGTAGTGTTTTTGTCCAGCTTTGGTATCAAGGTGATACTGGCCTTGTAAAATAAGATTGGAAGTGTTCCCCCTTGTGTTTTTTTGGAAGCATTTAAGAAGAATTGGTATTAATTATTTTTAAAATATTTGGTAGAATTCACCTGCGAAGCCATGAGGTCCTCGCTTTTCTTTGTTGGGAGATTTTTGATTACTGATTCAGGCTTCCTATTTGTTATTGGTCTATTCAAGCTTTCTAGTCTTGGATTCGGTTTTGGTAGGTTGTATGTTTCTAGAAATTTCTCCGTTTTTTTCTAGGTTGTTCATGATGGTTGGTTTATGACTGTTCATAGGAGTCCCTGTGACTTTTTTTATTTCCGTGAGATCAGTTGTAATATCTTATTTTTCATTTTAATTTTGTTTGAGTTTTCCTTTTTTTCTTTTAGATAGGCTTGCTAAGGGTTTGTCAATTCTATTTATCCTGTCAAAAAAAGTCTTAGTCTTATTGATTTCTTTATTTTTTCTTTTTTATTTCACTTCTGTGCTAATATTTATAATTTCTTCCCTTCTGTTAATATTAGGCTTACTGACTTTTCTTTCCTTCTACAAATCACTAACATCCAATTCATTTGCTATTTTATTATTCATATTATTTTAATCTAATTATGCAAGCAATCCTAAATCAGATGTGAGCATTCTTGTATAGTCAGAAAATTTTTCAAAACTGATAGCCTTGTATTCTTTAAAATTTTATCAGCAATTAATTTTACCTCCTACTTAAATCCTCCTCATATTGATCGTAACTATAAGTTAACATAATTAATTGCTATCATTCTTTTTTTTTAATTTATTGTAGAAATGAGGTCTCACCAATTTGCCCAGACTGGTCTTGAACCCGAACCCATGGGCTCAGGCAGTCTTTTCACCTTGGCCTCCCAAAGTGCTGGAATTATAGACATGAGCCACTGTGTCTGGTCACTTGCTATCATTCTTAAGAGGCTAATTTTTCATATGTATTTTATGTAGAGGGTAATCCCAGTAGCTAATGATATTCACTTATATTGCATTAAGTCCTTCCTAGAGTAGGAAAACAGGGGGTGGATATCATCTTACCTTAAAAATATGCTTCACATGAGTAGTATTGCATTGAATATCTAATTTTTCAAGTAAGTTCTGAGTTTTTTCTAAGTTAATTTTTCCACCTCTAAAGTCATCCTGAATCTTCGACCAAAACCATGTATAAAGCACAACAAAGTTAAGAAAATTCTCACAAAAAAGCATTGAGAATTTAAAATTTCTAAAGAAATATTTAACCTTTCTTCAGTTTACTATGCTTATTTTTATTTTTAGAGGATATTATATCTTGTGCTAAAATAAATGACAAGATAATTATATGATACATAATATTTAAAACAAAAAGATTAAGTAGTTTCTATGCTATAGTGAAGGTATGAAAGGGCAAAGTACAATAAAAATACCCAAAAAATAAAAATTTGAGAAACAAAGCTATTATTACTTGAGAAACAAGTGGTTGCAATCTATTGCCTGAAGGCATAGACTTGGGAGGCAGCTAGACTTCAAGATCATCCTCTTACCTAACTTTTCTCAGCTTTAGTTCCCTCATCCAAAAGGGTGAGCAAATTATTTCTTCATATTAAGGAAGGTAAAAGATTTAAAGGAGTTCATAATATGTCATTGAGCACAGCATCTGCCACAAAGTGTTCAATAAATAGTCATCATGACTTATACAATTATTGTTACTACATTAGTCAAATATCCAGCTACACACACACACACACACACACACACACACACACACACACACACACATACACACACACCACGCACAAAAGGCAACATTTTTAAGTATCATCAAAAAGGATGAAGAATACCATGGTGAGTGCATATTTGGTATGAGAGAGAAAACTAAAATAATCAAGCTTACTTATATATAGGTAAACTAAAAAAAAAGACATTTCCATTTGAAAAACTAAGAATAAAATTAATAATGACAATCTATAAAATCATGAAAGGTAAAACATTGCTCAAAATTCAGCAGTTTCAGTTGCTGGAATTAAAGAGAAGTTTTAAAACTTAAGATTAATAGTATGCCTCAATATGGCAAAGTTCATGTTCTTATCAGAAAAAGATACCAGAATCTAGAGAAATTCAGAAGAGCTCAGGATAGACATGGAGGAAGCAGTTCAGACCTAAATGAGAGCAACTTAAGTTCAAGACTCTTCAAAAAGAATAAGAGGGTCAAGTAAAAAGGATAAATCAAAAGGAGAGCAGAAAGAACTTCTGAATGGATATCTCGTTTCCATATTTTCATGACCTTCTGTACTGTTTCTTCTCACTTAGATGTCTCTCCCCATTAGTTGTCATCAGAGGTTCCAAACATAATTAACTCTGTCCCTTTGTGAAAAAGAAGATCTTGACACTCATCAATTGTTGCCACTGTCACCACTTTTCTAGGGAGAAAGCAGAGAACATACAGTGGTTTTTTTGGCTTTGATTTTTGAAGGTAGCTCACAAATCAAATCTCACAGAAACAATAAGCAAGATGTCGACTCCACATTACCTCACCCTTGAAACTTTTTGACTTCTAGCTTATTTTCTGACCCTCTCTAAACTCATAATGTATAAAAACGCAGCTTTCTCTGTTGTCTAGCATTTTTCCATGAACTGCCAGTGTATCTCATTTTATTTTTACTGTTTTCTTTAAATTCAAATCTTTCATCAAAATGTGCTTCCAGTGGGTTTGGGCAGCTATTCTGAGAGCCTATATACCAGTCAACATCATTATTATTCTGGAAGTTGCAAAGTGCTGTCAAATACTCTAGAAACTCTGGGCTACTTCGCTAGATCCCTGACAAATATATAATGTACACCAAGACACACCACTTTTGAAGAAGACTATTCAGGAGACGCAGTTCCTTAAATCTTCAGAATAGATATAACTGGATGGTTGGGCACCACGCTGTCTAGTGACTGTCATATTTTCCTTTCAGTCTGAACACCCACTGTGATATCATCAAAAGTTCCACACTTCACAGAGAAAGCTTCTTTGTGACCTCATCAGGCGCCTCAGAGTTTGCCAAGGTTCCTGTTTTCATGGTTGGACAAAATAATCTTAAGCTTGAATGTTAACACCTTGATGGGAAAGCTGTCTCATGGAATGTTCTCTTATCCTTTGAACACTCTTTATTCCAGAGGCTTTGCTTCTGCTGCAACCAAACATGGCACTTAGTGTGCTGAGTAGGAAAGAGAAAGAAAAAGTAATTCGCCGACTGTTGATACAGGCACCTCCCGGGGAATTTGTGAATGCCTTTGATGATCTCTGTCTGCTTATCCGTGATGAAAAACTTATGCACCATCAAGGTGAGTGCGCAGGCCACCAACACTGCCAAAAATATTCTGTTCCACTTTGCATTGATGGAAATCCAGTGCTCTTGTCCCACCACAATGTCATGGGTGACTACCGATTTTTTGACTATCACAGCAAACTTTCTTTCAAATTTGACCTGCTTCAAAATCAGTTGAAAGATATCCAAAGTCATGGCATTATCCGGAATGAAGCAGAATACCTGAGAAATGTTGTTCTGTGTGCCTTGAAACTGTATGTGAGTGACCACTATCCAACAGGAAATTGCAACGTGATGAGAAAAACTATCAAAAGCAAGGAATTCCTGATAGCTTGCATTGAGGATCACAACTATGAAACAGGAGAGTGCTGGAATGGTCTTTGGAAATCTAAATGGATTTTTCAAGTCAACCCATTTCTAACCCAAGTAACAGGAAGAATCTTTCTGCAAGCTCACTTCTTCAGGTGTGTCAACCTTCATCTTCAAATCTCCAAGGACCTGAAAGAAAGCTTAGAAGTAGTTAACCAAGCTCAACTGGCTCTAAGTTTTGCAAGGCTCGTGGAAGAACAAGAGAATAAATTTCAAGCTGCCGTCTTAGAAGAATTGCAGGAGTTATCAAGTGAAGCCCTGAGAAAAATTCTGCGAAGGGATCTTCCAGTGACCCGCACTCTTATTGACTGGCAGAGGATACTCTCTGACTTGAACCTGGTGATGTATCCTAAATTAGGATATGTCATTTATTCAAGAAGTGTGTTGTGCAACTGGATAATATAAAGGGTTGCTCCTGGTAATTTGATTTGACTCGGTTGTGTTTCTGGGGAATGGTTATTTAAAGTGGAGCAACCTCTAGAAAGGCCTATCACTCAGTCAATGCAATTTTAAATAGGGAAGAGTGTAACAAGTAATTTTACTTGAGAATATTTACCAATAAGGCAAGAAAGGATGGAGTCTATGTGTTTCACAGTGGTGACTATCATAAGGGCAGAGACATTTATTAGAAACTAAATTAGCTAGCCAGTTTTGGTGGCTCAGCCTGTAATCCCGTGCCTTTGGGAGGCTGAGGTGAGTGGATTGCCTGAGCCCACGGGTTCGAGGCCCGCCTGAGCAACTTGGCGAGACCTCATCTCTACAGTAAATCAAAAAATCAGCCGGGCGTGGTAGCGCATGCCTGTAATTCCAGCTATTCGGAAGGCTGAGGCGGAAGGATCGCCAGAGCCCAGCAGTTCGAGGCTGCGGTGGCTGGGAGCGGCCACTACACTCCAGTCTGGGCAACAGAGTGAGACTCCAACTCAAAAATAAAAGAAAAGAAAAGAAAAAATAAAAGAAACTAAATTAGCTTTATAGAATGTGGCGGACCGGAAAAATTACAGATGTGGTTAGGTTTAAGGCTGTGTGTGTGCACGTGTGTGCGCGTGCGTGTGTGTGTGCACATGCACTGTATTCAGGGATGACTTTTGACTTTCTTTTAAACTGAAAAGGTGTGCAAAGAATGCCACTCCACAAGTGATACTTCATATAATTCAATTCAGTCCTAGCTCAGCTTTGAGAGGGTAAATTTCAATAAATACCTTTAAGTCTGGACGTTCCATGAAACCAACTGATATTAAAAATATAGCTCAGATGAAGGACTCTTTGTAAACTTGGCTCCACTGTCACTCTACCCACCCACCCCACCCCCCCCCCCCCCAAAC